AGGAATTGCTGTTGACGTATGCCAGCGTGTAAACTTGTTTATCGCATTGACTCTTATACTTAATGAAACTCTTTGTAAATACAATGAGCTTTTATGCCCCCCCCACCACCACCAAAAAAAAGGTTAAAAAAATCCATGAAGCTTATTCAACGACTATGCACATTATTTACACACATAACGTGACGCCGCCGTTGCCCAGTGAACACAGCTTGCCCTCTAGACAATTGACAAAGACATACACACATCCATCATAGAGGGGTTTTTTTTGGGTTAGACCACATGAATATAAATGTGTTGTTAAACCCGCCACCACCCGACACAGCGAATTGGTAAGGTTTGTCACGTAAAGAGAACATGGCATTTTGTTACTAGTACAGCACACCGGTGTGTTGGAGAGTAAATCCACAACATTCCCAATTTGAGTGTTATGGGTAATATTGGTCGTGAAAGCCTACGTGTTAAACCTACATACACACATATCGGTCAATTGATGAAGAATACTATTTTGCACCTTGTAAAAACATTGAAAATCAGTCACCACATTACTGTCTGTTGTTCTAAACATGTAACTACCGGGTTGACTTACAAGACAAAGTTTGGCCCTAGTTTCCCATGTGGCAAAGAGTACGGGAAGCACACGGTTTGCTTCTTGTGAAAGATTTAACATAGTTTATAACATTAATTACATACTGGATTGTTTTTTATGCTCTACTCCGTGCAACCTAGGTGTTATTTACGAAGTACTCAATGTACCCCGAGACAAGACAGCTGTAAAGGTGATTCAAACTGCTTAGATACGTACCTGCTGATAAGGTCGCATGCTGAACATCGCGCGACCTGTGGACTAATCCATTCTTCCGCTGAGAGGAGGGGGGGGATTTCTCTCGGTAACACAGTTGACACTAGATTTAGGGACATTATTTAAATATGACCATTTATATTCATAAATATACATTAATTGTACGGAATTATAGTTAAAGAGCAATGGGCCAAGTTGTGTTTTATGATAACTGTGTTTTTTTTGTTTTATAGACTAAGTTGTAGTGTGTTTATATTTTTAGATAACTTGGTAAGAAGACAAATAGGGATATTGCAGAATTCTGATTATTCCACGGAAAAAAAATGTTCACTTAAAATGCCATCTAGTGTATTTTTGTGATTGTGTTTATGAATTACTTTTGAGTAGAATTCGTTATTTTATCCAAAATATGGCATGGGGACACAAAAGGCATGGACTCGTGGTAGAATGACAATGTCCGTGCAAGCACAGTAGAAGCAGTATACAAGTATTACCCTTGGGAGCAAGGCCCGTTTTACGCTCATATCTGACGTGTTGCTTGTATCAGAAATCGCCTCGTCTTCCCCCCACCAGTGTCATGTAAGCTTATGGTGCTCATGTCGGGGGCTTGCTTAGATTCAGATTCTACTCAAATGTATTTGTTTACCCAACTTTTTTAGTCAAGAAAGTTTAACTGTCAAGTAGACGCACAGGTGAGTGAATTGATGAAAAAAATGCATTATTGAATACGTTCTTGAATGTAAAAATCATACACTGTTGACATCTGCACGAACCCTAAAATACAATATTGGAGAATAATGTGTGTACATCAGAATTTCGTGGGTTACTCTTGAAATTGTGTGCACACTGTGAATTCATGGTCATCTGCTGAACATTGTACTCATAGCACTGGGTTACAAATACAGCAAGAGCAATCTTGACTTTTTCTGAGCTAATCAGCCAGTGGCGCTATCCAGGTTGGCATTGGTGGTGCTGGCTCATTAGATGCCCTGTGCAGAGATAACTATAGCAATGTCCCCTTTCAATTCATAGAACCCCAGTGGAATTACAAAGTAGATGTGGACCAGAGATACAGATATCGGGAGATGAGAAAAATGCTAACAGAGGCATTGTAGTGAGATGAGAGGAGAGAGACTCAGACAAGACAGATTACATATATTAATTATATTTTTATGTTAATTAGCTTGTTATGGCGAGGTGATATACATTTGAGTTGATTATCTTATGTACCCCTAATATTTTATTAATTCAGGGCCCCTTGAGCTGATTGGGGTCCTGAGCATTTCCTTGCTTTGATGATCCCTTACATTGTCCACTGCAGGTCTAAGGGAAAGTACTTGTGCCACTGTTGGTTCATCAAAGCCTCTAATTATTTTAAGCACCTGAGCAAAGATGCTATTGTTGTGGGATTTGGACATGTAGCGCTGCCACTAAATTGGACACTTTGGCTGTCAGGATGTTGAAGACGTGGTCCATTGGAAGGTCCTTTGAGATTAATTCAGTAACTGGTCTTAATGTAAATCTCACCCATAAACCTGCCATGCAGTGTGTCGCCCTTTATAAATGCACCTGCCGAATCAATTTTGCAAACAAATGAGCTCGTATCCCGCAGTTATTTTGCTCACAAGCAAATGGAGTCATCGATATGCGAGGTTTGTTCAATTTTTACGGAGACCAATGCTCATTAGTAATACTAGCCAAATTACTGCTCAGCGAACTCAATGCATCTTCATACCACTGTGGCTAAGTGAAAATGTCTTTTGATTATTTCACAAACTCATTCAGCAAGCGCGCACCAACTTAATTTTCGTTTGGCAATTATGTTCGGCAATCGCGAGGTACTAATCACGTTGTTGCTTGGTACCACGTTGTATCGCACTGCGGCAACATTTCCTTGGAAATTTGGAGTTAATCGAGGATGTCTTCATTTTTGACAGTTGTCAGGGAAATTCCCGGGGATATTTTTTTTTATATATAGCTGGGAAAAAGCTCCTGCTATAGGCTGCCTCCCGAATTGGACCCTGTGGATATGGAGAGGAATTTATTTAACGGGGGAATCCGTAGATTGCTCGAGCAGATAAGTGCGTCCAGAAAGGGAAATATTACTCTGATGAATGACACACGTTGGTTCTCCTCCCGGGACATGTCCCTTGTGTTATTGACATCATGCCTATGAATGTATTTAAAGTGCCTCCAGTTACAAGGCTGACAAGAACATGTACAAATTCAAGTTTGGACCCCATCACGTTGATGACTTTTAGACCTTAAGTCATCAACCAGTTGTGGTTGGTAAGTGCTGGCTTCTCTCTTAGCCAAAATAAACTCTGAATGTTTAAATACAGTGCGTAAATGCCTAGAGGATTACTTGCATTCCAAACTCTTCCTACCTCAGAGTTAAAACACTGAATATGGCGTGTGTGTGTGTCTGTCTGTCTGTGCTTAAGTATTCATGCACGGCTGTGCTCGAGTGGTAGTGTCGCGGTTAACGTGCTCGGGTCCCCGAAGGATCAGCGACCCGAATTCGATTCCTGCTCACGACCAACACCAGCGACGATGTTGTAAACCATCACCGCTGGGGAAACAAAGGCGTGGTGCTGGCCACCCATCCCCCTCGTGTGCCGTGCCGACCTTCATAGGTGCTCGCTAACAGCACTTGCCTCAACAGTCAGTTCAGGCTATACGGGGGATATCTTTGTGTGTGTGTGTGCAACGCGCGGCTGTGCTGGAGTGAGTGTGTGCGGTACGGCCCGCTCCGTGTGTTGCTCCCACGGGAGAGTTCCCACGCCATCCTCGCTATCTCCCGTGCGCAACCATCGGCGCTTTAGAATCTTGGCAGATAAAACCCCGGCCTCCCTCCGCTATTATCTTTCCCTCCCTACGCTCCGCAGTGCGATTGCCTTCGTTGTATAAGAGTTTCAAACAGTTTGCCTGAAACTTGTGTTGTCCAACATTAGGCCGACGCTTGCTACCCTCGATGAAGTTTATATTACCTTTAATCACGCTGCATCTCAAGAGAAACATGTAGAGCTCGAGTCCTTTGAGTTCTAGATGCCGTTGCTAGATGAAGCCTCAATGTAGGAGGTTTACAGAACTGTTTGCAGGCCTGTCGGGAGAAATATGGACCGGCTTGTCATGCTTGCTGAGGAGCTTTCATTTTCTTCCCATGCCCAATCGCCAGTGTCAAAGGGAGCAACTTTGTCCCGGCTTACATTGCACTCAGTGTTATAAATATTAACTTTGCTGCGCTCGTCGTGATCGTCATCGTCATCAATCAGCCATGGTCAGTCGACTTCTGTGTGAAACCCTCCCCGAGGTGCCACCGCCTCTCGCGATCCTGCATTGCGACAATCTACCGAGCCACCTGCACAACGGAAAGATGTCAGCGTTCCATCTCCGGCTTGGACGTAATCTTGTGGAAGTGTGTGCTTTTGTAATATTTTTTTTTTGAGATGGTAGACTAGATCCCAATTTTTTTCTTTCGAATAAGTGAGGTAGGTGATGGAGACATTTTGTTACGTGTTATTGTGAGGCCCCTAAATTTTGGACCCCTCCATCCCCCTGGGCTCTCATGAGGCCTGGGTGTCTGACAGCACTTGACTCTTGCTCGCTGCAGTGTGACTTATGAATGGGACACAATGCAGCCTTTTGGCTGGCTCAGAGGACACCAGGTCATGCCATGCGTAGCTTCATCAGTGGTGCCTTCCATGGGTAAAGAAAGTACTCTTAATTTCTACATCGACTATCTATTTCAATATGGATCAGCAATACGATCACAGACGAAGAAGACCTAACAAAATCTGAGAGGTTTGCAGAGAGATGCTTATGTTGGAATTATACTGAGATCTGGATGGGGAAACAAACATATGCACTTTCACAGAAATTATATTTACGATTGAAGTAAAGGAAATGGGCTTTGGGCAGAACACATAACTTAGAAGGGGGTAATGATGACGATGACTTGATGGATGAGACTGCTGATGGAATGGCAGCCAAAGGAGAGTCAAACAAACCTGAGAGCAAGTCCACTGTAGAGGAGTGACATGGAGTCTAGTATTGCAGGAGCTCAAGAGATTGTGGCGACAACATGATGGGGAAGGCTTCATCCAGCAGTTGATAGACAATGGTCGACGACGATGATGTCTCCGAGCGTTTTAAGACTCATGTTTCACTCGTGTGTTTGTGTTTCCCCCCCCCCCCTCAGTCTGACGAGAGCGCATGACCGTCCTCTCCCGTGGGACTACACAGCCTTCCTGCAAAAATTCTAGGTGAGGACGGACAGCATGAAACCTTGTGTGTGTGTGTGTGCTCACAGACCCAAACACAAATACATTAAGCAGCTTTCGCAAATATTTAACATGGCATTTAGCAAAGAATCCGTAACCTATTCATGCTTCGACAAAAAAAAACAGTCGTTTAAGTAAATACTTTCTTTCATAATCTGATCTGTAAATGGCAAATTTACAATTTTGACGGATGCGATTTGAATTTCATGAAACTTTCCCTGCACCTCTTTGTTGCATAACAAGTGTCATTGTATAGAGATGTAATTTAAGCCTGACCTTTCTATATTGCACGAAGTTACGGGAAGGGGTGATTTATTCAAACTTTCTCAGATTTCTGTTGGCAAAAGAATTGCCAACGGAATTTCTGCACAAATAAGAATAATGATAAAATGTCTGCACAATATGACGCGTCAACATTATCCAACTGTTTTGTTGTGGCCCAACCGACTTGTCAATCAACTTACTTTCTTTCACATGGTCGGCTTTTCAGACAAATTAAATAATCATATTTCTGTTTTAGAATAAATTTGAACAAAGCTCAGCACTCTAAATCATGTTATTGGTATCCATAGTTCGTTCATATTGCATTAGGATGTTTTATATCTCAGAGTCTATTTTGATATTTAGTTATGAAGTGAGCGCAATCATCAGTTGGTTCATGTTTTGAAGTAATAATTCAATTTTCATTTGATTGTTTCCCATCTTATTGAACCTGAATTGGATGAAATAATAATAACAATAATGATACCAATGTACATCCCTTGGTAAATCTACTTTTGGATGATAATAATAATAATATTGCAATTCGTATCGCTCACGATATATCACGGACATAAATTACCTTGACTCTGAGGTGTGGGGCCTAGCTGGGTGTCACTCCTAAGCCAGGAGAAAGCGGTGGGCCTTTAAGAAAGGTAGGCCTTCAAGTGTCCAGTTTCTATTAACAGGAAGCCATAGATTGAATGTTGCTGCAAATGTGAATTGGGGTGGCGTTCGAGATGGTGGGGGTTGCCGCAGAAACATGACGCCTGGCATTGACGGTCCTCACCCTTGGTGTAAAAATAAAACAAGTAATATTTTTTTTCCAGGTAAGGCCCATTACGCTAGTTATTTACTTGGCCACAAATGATAGCTCAACGAAGTGGCTTGTCACCATGTGGAAATGTACAGCAGCCAAATGCTCGAAACGCGTGTCAACTCTAAATATGAAGGGAAAAATCAGAGCACCCGGAGAAATATACAGGAGTCTGGGTTAGGATCGAACCTTTGGCCTCCTGTATACCAGGCAAAGTAGCTAACATCTCGCCAGCGTGTACAGAGGGGAAGAGTTTACGAGTCGCGCTACAGAGATTTCTACAGTGAGATCTTGTGCAGGGCGACGAGAACAAGAGAGACAAACGATATCGGTGGCAAACCTGCACACGCGTTGTCGGTCGCGGTCGGTGATTTGGCCCCACTTTACAACGCTGGTCAGTGAGGAGGGTGGCGGCCTAGGCCCCGTTTCAGACATTGATCGCCACCGACGTTAGCCCTGGCAGGGGAATTGAAGGTGACGATTATCTGAACCGGTTCTGGGCCTCCCCTGGGTCGACGCAGCCTCAAATGAGAACTTGGTACAGTGTGTAAACATCGCCATTCAGGAGACAAAGGCGGCCAGGCGTGATATTGGCCACCAACCCCCTCGTGTGCCGTGCCGCAACGGCCTTCAGAGGTCCTCGCTATCAGCATTTGCCTCAACACTCTGTTCATGCTATACTTGGGGTCTCTGTCATTTTGCATTAATATGATACGAGCTTGTTTGCCCATCCTAGGACGGAAGCTGTAATATTTACGAATTTTTTTAGCAGAGTATAATTGTGTGTTGTGTAAATTTCATGGCAGTAAAACTTGCACAAAAGTATGTAATGAAACACTTCACTGCAGTTCACTGTAGCACTGTTTTAATGGCAGTGATTTTTGCACAAACTATGTCATAAAACACCTCACTTTATGTCACTGTAGCACTGTATACAACTGACCTTCAATTTGTTCAAATTGACTGCTCTGATACTTTTTTCTCTTCTGCTTTCTGTCGCTGGGGTTGAAATAAACTGTAAATCGATACAATATCTGGAAAATCACCGACAAATGTCGATTTTACCATAATGTAGAAGCATAAATTAGACTTACCTTTTGTCTCAAGTGTTGAAGAAATAAATAAAGACATCAAATCCACTTTTTTGCTGCGTATAATTATTTATTAAATTCACATTCAATAAAGATACGTCAAACTTAAAGCGAATTTGCGAAAAATATATATTTCCGCTCAACCTTCTTCTGCGTGAGTGTAAAAATCCACTCGCTCATGAATATTCATGATGGGGGGGGGGGGGGTGCGGCATGTGGAGTGACGTCACGCGCGTTACACACAGACATTCTTGGCTCATTATTTGAGTAATAAGAAGAGAGGCAGTCAGTCGTAGGAAGAGGAATACAGGAATGTTTTGAGCCTGGACTTGAACATTGATATTGAGTCGACATGAATGCCGCAATGTACACATTATTATTATTGCCTAGAGTATCATGGTTTCATCCCTTTCAGTCGAATGAATTATCATGACTCAGATTGTGGTGAATGTAGCAGCCTCTAGGGGCTGGAGGGATGAGTTGAAACCATTACATACAACATGTACAAATCTAAATACATGAGGTCTTACATGCGCGATTTAATGCACATATTATGAGCCGAAGAATCAAGATCAATGGGATCAACCTTGTTCACCCTTATACTACTACTAATAACTATAACCAAGTGAAGGCGACGATGAAAATTTTAATATAACAAAGTGTGGTCTGCCATTAAAAAGTCACGCTTTGTGGTTATTTAAATCTTGATCAGACCTTTGTTCTGAGAGAAGAGGAATCATCTTTGTTTTTGAATGTACAAACAAGCGTCCAAACATTTGTGAACAAAAACAAAATGGTGCGGCTTTTAGCTCATGTGTGCTCGTATAGAAATTTGGTCTCATTCAGGGGGCCCCCCCAACCCCCTTACAATTTATGGAGGGGGCCGCTGACATTGTTCAGCCATCACTCACGTGCCCGGGCACTCGTGTAACCAAGCAGCAGCCCGTGAACAAGCTGACGTTGACTGCCCTCGGCTACAGAAATGGCTTTGAGGTGGGGGGGGCAGGGGATGTGAACGAACAAAATGGACAAAAAAATAAACCACCACAAACTCGACGATCCACAGCCTGCGATGTTACACATTCGTCGCGTTTTAGTTTTGCTTTCAAACTCCCAAGCTGGCTAAATGGGCCAAGTGAAGTGGGGTGTGGGCTGTGTTCCCGCGCTAGTTTTTTTGTTCCTTTCACGCGAGATTCTCTTTTTTTTTGTCTCGGCTGGCTCGGCGACTCCCCGGGAGGGCGGTTCCCGTGGGCGTTGGGCTGTGAACTGGGCCTTCCCACTGATCGACGCCCGTCGCGCCTGCGTGAGCAGCAGGCTTTGGGGGGAATTGGTGCGCAAGGGACGCACAGTCACACTTTGGAAAGTTGGGAGGTGTCCTGCGAGCGGCTACTATTTAAATCTGGGCTTAATTGTCTCCGCAGCTGCATGGCACGTTTAATAGACGGTCAGTGCATTGTGCCCTTTCAGATACGCTTCTGCGGCCGTCTGGAATGCTCTTCCTTCCGATATTAGGAAGCCACTGGAGCTATGGATTTTGAAATCTAGATTGAAAACTCATTGCCTTAGAACCGCTTTTTGTGAATCGTTTGCTGTCCTACCCCCGCACCTCCGATTAGCATGGCTATGTACGGTGCGAAAGAAGTTAAACATGCATACATACATGTGTAGTTTAATAGCGCCGGCTGTTGGACAGCAGCAGCAACTGTGATGGACAGACAGCGCACACGCCGGTGAGGGCGTGTGCACGGTGTGTTGGCAGAGAGGAGGAGCTAGCGTACGGGTCACGGAGGACTCCATCTGGAGGCCCCTGGAACCTGCTAGCGGGTTCGAGAAGGGAGGCGCGGTCAGGGCGGAGCCAGGCCGCGCTGGGAGCATAAAAGGAGCAGAGAGTGGGAGCTCGAGGCTGCCGGTTCTGGGAGTGGACTCGTCTCGTCGTCGCTGTCATCTCGTCGCCGCCGTCGCTAAACGTCTCCGCTAGATATTGCGCTACGAAGGAGAGTAGTTGGCGATCTCAGTCAGCGCCGTCAGTGTTAGACGGCTAGTGTTGTGTACAGGCTGGGCTAAGCTATTGTGAAGAGTGTGCAGAGGAGACAGTGAAAGTTTTTTTAATAAAGAAGGTGCCTCCTAGAAACTCTGTCTCTGAATCATTGACACTACACATACATGAACACTAACATCGGTAACAAGTTACCCACTTCACAAGCCTGCACCGAGTTTCGTGGTCAAGTATGGTCAAACAGCCCCCATGCCCGACATCAGCAATGGATTGAATGTGCACAGGGCTGTGCATGATTATTTTATTTAACTATCATTATCTTAAATTTTGATTTAAAGCATTCGTGACTGCAGTGATTCATATTCTTGGTTCTTTCGGTAAAGTCACGTTGAAGAGAAACAATAAAATAATAAATATATATTTTAAACTCGATTTGGTGCTTTCGTGACTGCAGGAATTAATCTTTGTTTTTTTTGGTAAAGTCACGTAGAAATAAGAAAAAATAAAATTACATAATATACAAATGTTTGGGACAGTTTAAATTTGTATATTATGTAATTTTGTTTTTCTTATTTCTATGTGACTTTACCGAAAAAACAATATATTTTATTATTTTACTGTTTCCAAGACTTTACCGAAAAAACCAAGAATATGTATCATTATCTTGGTGATGATGATGACAATCATGGTGATAATTAAATATAAATCTTATTGCAGCATTTGAGGTTCCATATATTTCATTTATAGTGTTCATATTGTACACAGGATAATCAAGTAATTTCATCGAGCAGCGGATTGACGAGGGGTTGTAACTTTATTT